TCTGAGGTGAGAGAAATGTTTTATTCCTATGCTAATGTGGTAGCCACTGTCCTCATGGGGCTATTTAAGCTAACTACATAAAATATTTAAAAATTCTGTTCCTTCATCAAACAGCCACCTTCCCAGAGTTCAATAGCCATATATAGTTAGTGACTATAAGACACCAAAAATTTAGAATATTTCTGTTAACCAAGTTCCATTGGAGAGCACTGTTGATGGGTGGTAGCTACGTGGGTGCGTATTTTGCCAAAGCTCCTCAGCAGGTATACTTAAACGGAATCCAGTTTATTGTATATAAACTCCATTTCAATAAAATGGACTTGAAATAAGATCCTCATCTCAAGGAACTTACAGGATCATAGGAAAGATGGCCAACCTAACAGCCAATTATGGAGCTGGGATAAGCCTCACAAAGAAGATCAGTTCAGGGTGTTGTAGGAGTCCAGAGTAAGGCATCTCTCCAACAGGCTTCTTCTTGAACTGTGGTTGGAAGGACCCTGGGAATTAGGTATAGAAGGGGAAGGAATCACAGATGATAAACCACTAGCACAGGGAGTTTCCCTGTGGGAGGGCAGAACAGGCAGCTCTTCTTTGGGAGGGACTCACGGCTTGTCAAGCAGGGCAGATGGGCCTGCACTCCTCATCCTTTGGCTCAAAGTACCCTTACAGTGTTCTGGTGTGCCAGAGAGGGAGGTTCCTGCAAGAGCAAAGCAGCCCTGCCCTCATCCTTCTGAGGAAGTTCGCAGCCTTTCTAGGCCCTGACCTGCCCTCTAATGTGAGTTCATTGCCGTTGAGAGGTGAACTTTACCGTCCTCTCCCAAAAGTCTAAAGGCTGTGTGTGCATCTTTTAAACTGCAAAATGTCCAGAGAATTAATTTATTCAATTATCCTTCTTCGCCTGGAATGATTGCTCTTTTAAATATTCAAATGTAGAGCTGGAGAGGATGCTTGAAAGGCCTCCCTGGCATCCGAAGATAATTTTTTTCAATAGCATTTGGTTCTCTTACAGCTAGACCCAGGGCTTAGATGCCCAGAGATCTGGCCATGGTACTGAGGATCATCAATTTAGGCAGGGAGATCTCGGCTTGGGATGCATCTATGCCATCTGTAAGTTTCAAAAAGCTTAGGAGTACCAGCTTTCAGGAAACAAAACTGAAATCCAAGTTCTTTTCTCTGTAATTAGCTTTCTGTGTGACTTTGAGAAAATCAGTTCCTGTCTCTGACCTTCAATTTCCTTATCCATAGAAGAATAACACAGTTGTCTCAGAACTGTTCTGTGGGCCTCAAAAAGTGAGACTCAAAACTGTGTACTCTGTTGTTGATAGGGCTTCAATGCTGATTTTGTGGGGCCTGGATCTTACTGGTAAAAGACCTTTCTCCAATCCCTCCATCAGAAGGATTCCATCCCTTCTCTGGGTGCCCCTAGAATCTTACGTTATTTTCCTTGTATCAACAAAGTACTTAAGGTGTTTTACTTTGCTGTATCATTTGTGTACTTGAGCCGGCTTCTTGAGGGCAGAGATTCCAGCAACCCATGAGAGGGCCTATGGCTAAGAGCATGGGTTCACACTACAGCTCCCCCACCTCGCTGCTTAGACGGTGTCAAGGAGAAAAATCTTCCTCTACCCTCTTAGGCTTAGTACTGAGAGGTATGAATTAAACTAACAAAAGACAGATTAACAGGAGGAAAGATGTACAGTTTTCACTAATAGTTCTGTGTACAGGAGTTCACAGAAGTAAAGTCAAACAGGTAGTTAGATGTGGGAGCTTATATGCTGCTTTTTTTTTTTTTTTTAATACTGGGGATTGAACCCAGGGTCTCAACCACTGAGCCACATGGCATATTCCCAGCCATTTTTTTTATAGAGTCTTACTAAGTTGCTGAGGCTGGCTTTGAACACATGATCCTCCTGCCTTAATCTTCCAAGCCACTGGGATTACAGGTGTGCATCACTATGCCTGGCTTATGTGCTGTTTTAACAAAGGAAATGGAGTTCCGGCTTCAAGGGATGACAAGTCACTGGGAGTCTACAGGGGAAATGAATGGAGGGGGTGAGAGATTCATAAAGGTAAACATATGCCTTGCTTTTAGACAGAAAAGGGAAGGCAGAGAATTCCTCCTGTATCTTGCTGATTCTCAACTGCCTTTAGTTCAACATCATCCTTATGGCAAAGCAATGTATTTTAGGATGGCATGTTTGGATTTCCTCCCATGGCCAGAAGATCCTTCTCCTTGCTGAACCTCAGCTTTGTCAACTATAACACTGGGCATAATCAGTCCTTGTTTCATAAGATGATTGTGAGGATTGAGTGTACTCAGTACCGTGCCTGGCACAGACAGCTCAATACATGGTGGCTGATGTCAGTTATTCATGGAACATCAGAGCTGAGGGGGCCTCAATATCGTAGTCTAAAGCACTCAATATAAAGATCAGAAAACAGGCCCAGAGAGTTGAATTCCAAGTCTAAGGTCTTCTCATGTTGATGTGTACTACCCTTTTTAATCTAATAATCCACATTCTACTCCTTTGATGTGGGGTATTGCTCTTTCCTCTTCCTATCTTTCAGTTATTTTAAATTAACACCTAATAATTTAACATATTTGTGCTATTTCAGTACATGTGTGCCGTATGTACTGATTGTATCAGGGTGATTAGCACTTCCAGCTCCTTAATGCTTTTTTGTTTGGAGACTTGAGCTCTTCTCTTCTACTTGTTCTCAAATATCTTGTAGGTTGCTGTGCATTATAGTCACTCTCCTCTTCCCATCTTTTTTTTTTTAATATTTATTTACTTTAGTTTTAGGTGGACACAATATCTTCATTTTATTTTTATTTATTTATTTATTTTAAAGAGAGAGAGAATTTATATATATATATATATATATATATATATATATATTTTAGTTTTCGGTGGACACAACATCTTTATTTTTATGTGATGCTGAGGATCGAACCCAGTGCCTCACCATGCTAGGCAAGTGCTTTACCTCTGAGCCACGACCATAGCCCTCCTCTTCCCATCTTGATGCAAAGTCTGGCTTGGGGTTAATTTGACAAACTGGCATTGAGCACTTACTGTGTCCGTAGCTTTGGGCTAGATGTTGGGCCCAGAGGCATCAGTGGCTTGGTACACCAACGAGCTTTGAGAAGACAGTGCATATTCATTGGAATTGGCCCCTAACAAGGACTGCTAATGCCAAGGGTTGGTTTAGGCAAGTTCTTGAAAGCAAAGGGGCAGATTGGTGTTCCAGGAAACACTGCTGACCTTGGGACCAGACAGATCTGGGCTTGAATTGTGGCATAGCCATGTGCTAGAAGGGCAGTGTGGCCAAATTGGGATCATGCAACAAAACACATAATGATAGTAAGGAATTATAACACATAAAATAACACTTATAGCCATGAGTCCATATTTATGTAAATAAACAATCAAATAAATGAATAAATGGGGGAGAAGAAGCAGTTTTCCATACAGTAGAATTCCAATTAATAGAGAAAGAATGACGGGGACAAAAATGATCAAATTGGCACATACCACTCCAAAAACTATTTTGAGTTAGAATTGCCCATAGATGTTAAACTCAGTGGATGAAGAATTTCAGAAGGGTTCCGCCCCAGATAAAGGACTTTTAGATGCAAGCTCTTTCCAGCCATTCAGTGACCTTGTTCAAGGAAATAATAATGCCAGCTTTGTGGCTGGATGGCCGCTGTCAAGGAGATGGCTTCAGACAGTCCAAACAGCTGGTAGCAGTAATATTGCCTCCAGGCTTGGCAGCAAGAAAAGCCATAGTGAGACAGACAGGGCAAAGGCCCCTGTCTCTGATCATGAAACACTACTGTGTGTTTCTACTGCAGAAGAAAAAACAACTTCCCACATAGACTTTCCTTTGTGCAATCAATTCTATTTTCAGTTTCCAGAATCACTGGCGGGGTTAGCACATAATCTAAGAGCATGGTATTGCTGAACAGGGCAACGGTTTAATACTTATAAAATACTTACGAAAACGCTTATGGAGTCTTTCTCTTTTATATTTACTAAGTATCTCATTAGAAAATGCAACCATGTGAGCTTGACATTATCTGCCTCACTTTATCCATGAGGAAACCTAGGTGCAGCAATGGTAAGATATCTCCAGGTCACAGGATGAACTGGACTCAGAATCCAGGCACTGCAGATGTCCAGTCCGGCAGTCACACCGTCCCCAGTAAAACTCACCTCTTAGCCACCCTGAAGCCGTTACTTTAGGAAAAGAGGCCAACACACCACTTAAATATTGTGTTGTCTGGATATAGACCGCATGTCTTAGTCCAAATTCTAAGATGGAGGAAAAGAAACAAATGGGAAAGACAGGCTGTGCATTAAGAAAGACACCCAGAGCCATGATCCAGTTGTCAGGAGCCGCACATCTGGCTCCAATTGACAGTAAATTTACTGTGTAATTAACTTGGGCGAGTTTACTGATTGGGCCTATTTACAGATTGTAGGTGCGAGTCTCAATGGTAACAAAAGATCACTAAATGCGAGCTTGGAGTGGGAGTATGGCTGGCCACTTGGCTTGGGGGATGAGTTGTTTCAAACTGTGTGCAAAGTACGCTTACTTTAGGACCCCGCAGGCAGAAATTTTCTAAAGCGAAGCAGTACCTGATATATCTGAGTTTCAACTCAAGAAGGAAGACTCTTTGGTGTATAGATTCCAAGGTTCTAGAAAAGCAAACATTGGTTAAGAAACTCTGAGCTGCGGTGAGCTATATTCTCAGCTCCCGCTTAAATTAACGGATCAGGACCAGCGTTCACCCTCAACAAAGATGGCGCCGGTCCTGGCCTCGGCCTGGGTGCCCTAAAAAATCATGGCATCCAGCTTCTCCTTCCTTAATTTTGGACGGCCCAAGCGAAAAAGCTCTGCCCTTAGTTAAGATGGCGCCTGCCCACCTGTCCCTGCCCGGCCTCTGGCCTTGGCAGATTGGCTTCACTGCGCGCGCCTCGTTGACCCCGCCTCATTTCCGTAGGAAGAAGCGGCCGGAAAGATGGCGGCGGCTGCGGTTTGAATTCCAGCGGCGCCGCCGGAGTCCCAACAAGAGCTGGGTTAGAGGGGGCGGGGACCTGGGGAGCCAGGCGGATCGCGACAAGCCAGCGGAACCAGTGGCGCCTTCGCCACAGGTACCAATGCCTCTGTGTCCATGATGGACTCCGTGTTGGAAGAGGACGTCACCCTCCCCGGGACGCTCAGCGGCTGCAGGTGCGGCCGCGACATTGGAGGCCGGGGTCCCCACTGATGGGGGTTCTCCCTAACCGGATTTGGAGTTTGCTATTGAGGGTGCTTGAGAGTGGCCAGGGGCAGTGCACTGGGTGGGTTCCTTCGGGAAGGGTCTCCGGAGAGCCCACCTGCTGATACTGTGGGCTCTGGGGTCCCCACCTACACTGCACTAGGCTGATACTTGGGGACATACTTTTGAAGAGGTTGTGGAGGACAAACAGGCAAAGGGTTTTATAAAAGAGTCGGGTGAGAGAGAACCGTTTGGAGTATGCCATCAGTGGGGGCTGGATGGAGGACAGGGAGGGGCCTTGAGGACACTGGTGATTCATTATGAGGCATATAGTCATTATGTCTGTCTAGACTTTGTTTATGGGGGACACACAGTGGCTATGCAGACAGAGGTAATGGAGTGTAATGGTTAAGAACCTTGGGTGGAGATGGACAGAACTGGAATTCAATCCAGTCCTGTAAACTGACCAGCTGTGTGATGGTGGTAAAGTGATTTGACCAGCTTTCCCATCAGTATAATGGGCTAGTGGTGATACCCTCACATTATCATTGGTGTGAGGACTAAAAGAAGTGATGCTTGCCTGGAAATTTGCTTGACAAGTGTAGGGCCTGGCACCAGTGCTGAAAAAAGTATACTGTGTTGCCTTAATATTACTACAATAGGTTGAGTAGCCCTTATCTGAAATGCTTGGGATCAGAAATGCTAGGAATTTTGTATTTTGTAGTTTTTTTGGATTTCTGGAATATTTGCAGTACATAATGAGATAACTTGAAGATGGGACCCAAGTCTAAACATGAAATTTATTGCCAGGCACAGTGGTGCACACCTGTAATCTCAGCAGCTCCAGAGGCTAAGGAGGATGGCGAGTTCATAAGCCAGCCTCAGCAATTTAGGGAGGCCCTGCGCAACTTAGCAAGACCCTGTCTCTAAATAAAATACATAAAAAGGTCTGGGGATGTGGCCCAGTAATTAAGTGCCCCTGGGTTCAATCCATAGTGCAAAAAAAAAAAAAACCATGAAATTTATTTATGTTTCACATATACAAAGCCTGAAGGTAATTTTGTACAGTATTTTAAAATTTTTTTTCTTTTAGTTGAGATGTACACAATACCTTTATTTGTTTTTATGTACTGCTGAGGATTGAACCCATTGCCTCACATGTGCTGGGCAAGCGCTCTACCACTGAGCTATAACCACAGCCCTTGTACAGTATTTTTAATGTGCCTTCATGTTGACTGGGACCCATGACCTGAGGTCAGGTGTGGCGTTTCACTTTGTGGATTTTCATATGGGTGCTCAAAAAGTTTTGAATTTCGGAGTACTTTGGATTCTGGATTTTCAAATTGGGGATGTTGAACCTATATTATCAATAGTGGTAGAAATCAGGAATGTTGGCTGAGAGTGACCCCCAATGGTCCTGCCCTTAGTGGTCTTTTCTTTCTGTAGTAGACTTGATGGAGGCCTAGACTGCTCCAGGTTGGGTTCCTTTGATTGTTCTGGACTCCTGGTTGTAGAGTGGGTAGGAAGAAATGGAGGAGAGCCCTGAGAACCTGTAGTGTTTATCCAGTTCTGTAGGACAGGCTGCTGTTTTTAGTCAACAGAGCCTAATTGAAAGGTGACCATGTTATTTGTTATGCAGACCAGGATGCTTTTAAGAGTGAAGTGGGCACAGTTAATACTTATGCCTGAATAGCAAGATAGACATAAACAGTTTCCACCTTGGGCAAACCTGGAAAATGGTTACTGTGTTTACTTATTTATTTATTTTGTTTATTCTTTTTAGTTATACATGACAGTAGAGTTTGTTGGGATACTCTGTTTATTGAGAACCTGCTGGATATTAGGCAGAGAGCAAGTCCCTTTGAAGCTCTTGCTAATTGGATCCTGTGAAAGTTCGTCCTGTCTCTGTCTTTCCATCTTACCACACTGGCTCTCACCAAATTGTCCTGACTTCCTTCACTCCTCTAATAGTCTTTAATACACTCAAAAGCTTTGTTTTTTACTTGTTCACATAAATCTGATCTTTTCATCTTAGACAGTTCTTTTCATCTCAGTGTTGGTGGGAAACATTTGGGCTTTGGGACCCAGACTTAACTGGGTTCAATGCCATTTCTTTCACTGACAATCCTGTGACCCTGGGCAAGCCACTCATCTTGTGAGCTGAGTTTTTGCCATCTGTAAAATGGATTCATTTAAAGCTCAGGGTTGGCATAAGAATTAAAATGAGTCTGAAAGGGTTAACCCATGTTTGACCTGCAGCAGAAACTCCGCAGATCTGCAAACATTCCTTTCCTTCCCCTCCCTGCCTTTGCATGACCCAGGTGCTACCTACATACCTGGTAACTGCCATTACCCTCCATGACTCCCTGCCATTTTCAGGGAGAAGCTCTTTAATAGGGCTTCCAGGGTCCTTCATACTCTGGCGCCATCTGCTTCTGTAGCCTCCTCTCTGCCTAATTTCCCAACTCTGCCTCCTCCCTGAGCCCCTTCCCCATGCCTGCCTGCCATGTCGTTTCTTACTGCCAGACATGGGCACTTGCTGTATGTGCTATCTGGATTACCCTCCCCACTGCCCTTTGCCCTTTGTCCTATTAACACATCATTTTTCAGGTCTCAATTTAGGTGTCATTGTTGGGAAACCCTTGCTGACATTCGCCATTCTCATCAGGGCCATCTGAAACTTTCCAACCACCCTTATCTGTCATTGACCTATCTTAGCCCTTGTTGATCTCACTGAATTTTGTTGACCAGGAATGACTGTCAAATAGGAATATGACATAAGTTACATAAAATTTTCTAGTAGCTGCATTAAAAAAAAAGTGATGAAAAGTTTTTTTTTTTTTTTTTAAATTTCTTTGTGGTGCTGGGGATGGAAATCAGGGCCTTGTTTATGCTTGGCAAGCCCTCAGACATTGAGCAAATTCCCCAGTTGAAATGGGTGAATTTAATAATTTATTTATTTAGCCTAATATTTCCATAGATTATCAACTAATTTGTAGTCAGTACTAATGAGATATTTTCCATTCTTTTTCAATTTTACTAAATCTTTGGTATGAATTTTGCACTCACTTAGAGCCCTTCTGAACTTAGATGAACCACATTTCAAGTGCTTATTGGGTCCTTGTGGCAGGTGGCTCCTGTTTTGGACACTGAAGCTGCTGGCTGTTAACTTATTTGTTGCCCAGATCAGATGGGGACCCATATGAGAGCAAGGACTGTATTTTGTTCATCTCTGTAACCCCAGTTCCCATCCTAGTACCTGGCATAATGGGGGCTCATGATTTTTGTAAAATCATTGAATAACAAATATCCTCTTGTTATAAGTGGTACCACTGAGGCTCTGAGAGGTGAATAGTCTGGGAACATACACACACACACACACACACACACACATGATCAAATTAGGACTACTGTCTAAGCTCGCTGACTCCAGAGCTGTCCTGCTTGCCAACTAGTTCTCTGAACTAATTCAAGGTTGAGAGGATTTGGGGAGGATCTATCTAACAGAGCTCCTGGCACTGAACTGGCCCTCGAAGAGTGGCAAAAATATCCTTAAAATATCCTGAGAGAGGCAGAGTTTCCATTTGGTGGTCACATGCAGGAGGATAATCCCTAGGATAAAGTCATATCTTTTTTACTCTAATGTACTTTTTTAAAAAAATATTTATTTATTTTTTAGTTTTCGGTGGACACAACATCTTTGTTTGTATGTGCTGCTGAGGATCGAACCTGAGCCGCAGGCATTGCAGGCGAGCGCGCTACCGCTTGAGCCACCTCTCCAGCCCTCTAATGTACTTTTTGAAGGGCCCTTCTGCTTGGTAATTTCCAAGGCCCAGTTTTAAAGTCTAAACTGGAGTCCAGTTTGTCCTTAGACTTTTGTTGAATTAGGTCAGTTTACATTATTCCTTGTAAATCTGTGGGTACCTCAGACTGCTCTAGCTCTGTGAAACTTAGATCCAGATTCTGGCCACAGGGACCTTGCCCAAGCCTGTTGGTGTGGGAAGAACCTGGGCTTGCTAGTTGGGAGGACTGTATAAACCCCCGTGTGACTAGATGCATGGCTTTGTGTAAGCCATTTAACTTTTGTGAGCTTCAGTTTCTCCTTGATGACAATACCTATTTTATCGATGGCTGTGTGGGTGACGTGGAAGTGCCTGGCGCCTACTGGGGAGAGTGAAATGTTAGCTAGCTGGGTTGTGCTGACGCCATAGTGTGCTGTTTTCTGGACAGGATCTTGTGTGCCAGTGCCCTGAGCCCTTCCTCTGTGCAGGCTCCAGTCTGCCTTTGCTCAGCTGTGGGCTTCCTGAGGTCTGAGCCCAGGCCCAGTGACCCATTGGCTCCTCTAGCACATGGCCTCTAAGTGCCTGCTGCCGACCAGACATCTTTTGCTGTAAGCACAGTTTGTGCTTTGGGCAGAGAAACTGGATGCTAGAAGGGGGAGGTCAGGAAAGAGGATGGTGGATTGCAATTTCTGGTGAGGTCTTGAGGGTGACAGGAGTGCTACTGCATTCTAGGGTACCCCTGGCTGCGGGTTTGAGGACAGCATAGTTCATCTCACTGAATCTTCAGCTCCTAGACTATGCCTGCACGTAGTGGAGGCCCAACACATATTTGCTGAACAAACCAAGTTTCTTTCCTTTATTTTTTTTTTTAGAGATGAAGATCATGTAATATAGGCCCCATATTTAGTGGTGAAATGATGCTTTGCAATCACTGTGAAGTGAATCCACAATTTGGCATTATCTGTTACTGTAAAAAATATGCCTGTATGTTTCTTTTTTTAAAAAAAAGATTTATCAAGATCTACTTCATGTACCATAAATTTCACCCACTTAAAGTATACTGTTTAGTGGTTTTTAGTGTATTTGCAGAGTTGTACACCATTACTGCCATCTGATTTTTTATTTTTTGGTATTAGTGATTGAACCTAGGGATACTCTTCCATTGAACCACATCCTCAGCCCTTTTTATT